AACGTACACAAGCCAACTCGTGTAGTGCTCCCTTAATGAATAAATTTCGCAAATGCTGGCTGCTAGTCCACCCATCATAACATAGCACTATGGGAAAGGGGGGGGGGGTCATCACAATTTTTTGTACACTATGATTTGAAACCACTGCCTCACGCGTGTGCACATTCCATAACTGAATACAACAGCGTCAATAAACAATTATGTGCAGTGGTTGTTATGAAGAGCATAAAATGCCACCAAATTGATAAAGACTGTATCCACTACAGATTTTACATAAACTGTTATGCTGAGGAAAAAGAAAAACAAACAGAAGATTTGATCATCAGACTAAACCAGACAGACCCACTGAACCCACAGGAGTGTATGTGTAGCACTTGAACAAAGACATGGTAACCACTCATGTCAGAACCTTCAGCTTCAGTCTGCCAAGGAATCGACCAGCTCCATCCTCACACGGAAATTAGGAACACCTTGGACAAAATATGGCGAAAAAATCTAATGTGTGGCCAGAAATAGAAAGGGCTGTTGAATGAAAAGAAAATCTTACATTTCACTACTCTGCTTTACTTTACTGCCTTCACATTATTACATAGCCGCTCCTACACATGAGATAATCAACCACGAGGGCTTAGAATAAGGTTCTGATTGGTAAATGTTGGAACGTTGAAGCTCCGAACAGCATTCGGTGCTAATAATCTTGGGGTGGGCTACACCTGTGAGCTTTTCCAATGTGTGTCTTTGTTTTTCATTTTTTAATTGTGCCTCACACTGCAAGTCGTGCAAAATCCTGTAATGTACCATGTGAACTCCTGTCAAGCGTCTCGCCCTCCGTGAAAATGTGCAAAGTCACTAGAATGCCATTTCGAAGTCTTTCTAAATCTTGACCAGTCGTTTGGACAAGGGTGACAGAATGTTTACCAGTGTGCTTGACAGGTGATAACAAGGCTTACGGGATGTTGACAGGATGGCCTGCTGTACACGTGGGTACGTTTACAGGATTTGGCACGTTGACAAGCAGTTACAGGTGCGGCACACCCCAGGGTTATTAGTGTCCAGCATTCAGTGGCAGTTACCATACCTATAGCAATTCGCAGGTAAAGTTTGAGAAACTATTGGGTTGAGCCTAATAAGTAATGGCCGTTTTTTTCAATTGAAAAATTTGTTCGAAAAGTGAAACGTTTTGCAAGCAAGTTATATATCATCTGATAGGAAACTTCTCGTAGTATAAGAATATCAAAAAAGCTTTGGTTGAGGATATAGTTTTTGTGAATTTTTTAGTCGTTGAAGTTGGAAGTGAAGTCGGCGAAAATTAGCATCTTCGACAACTGCCTCTATTTACGTCTACTCGAAGTGCTAAAATCGCTTAAGCTGCTCCATACATTCGGAAAAGGTTGAGGTAGAAGTCTCAGCAAGGGAATCTCAATAGGACGCTTTGGAACTAATTTCAAGAATTTCAAAGTTGGCAACCTTCACCTTGCCAATGTTGGGCAGGCTCACGTCTGTTCCACCTGAAATTTCATGCTAATAGTTGAATTAATTGAATTTGAATTTGATATTCTAATACTACGAGAAGTTTGCTATTAAACGATATTAAGCTTGCTTGCAAAACGTTTTACTTTTGGAACAAATTTTTCGATTGAAAAAAACGGCCATTACTTATTAGCCAGCCCACTGCTAGTGGGCTGGCTAATAACTGCCTAGGTAGGGCTGTGCTTAATAAGTAATGGCCGTTTTTTCAATCGAAAAATTTGTTCCAAAAGTAAAACGTTTTGCAAGCAAGCTTAATATCGTTTAATAGCAAACTTCTCGTAGTATTAGAATATCAAATTCAAATTCAATTAATTCAACTATTAGCATGAAATTTCTAAATAGAGGCAGTTGTCGAAGATGCTAATTTTCGCCGACTTCACTTCCAACTTCAACGACTAAAAAATTCACAAAAACTATATCCTCAACCAAAGCTTTTTGATATTCTTATACTACGAGAAGTTTCCTATCAGATGATATATAACTTGCTTGCAAAACTTTTCACTTTTTGAACAAATTTCAACTGAAAAAAACGGCCATTACTTATTAGCCAACCTAATATCTGTTTCATGAGATCCGCCTCAGTTGGCATTGTAGTTCTCGGGAACTTTTCACAGGTATCGTAAGAACTTTCGTTCTGCTGCCCATCACCACTGCTACCCGATTTAGTTTCAACACATTGCGGACCGCTACTGTGGGAGGATCACTGCATCATTTCGTCACCTTTTGAATCATTCACCAATTTCAACTGACTTTTTTTGTACATTTGCATAAGATATCTGTACTCCTGTTCGAAAACTTGTTCTGATAACTTCAGAACATGAAATAGATGCCAGATCATTTGAGACAGCGCAGAGAGAAAAATGTATGACACACCATGTAAGTCACGCGGTCCGCAACAAGTTGCGGAAGGAGTCAGCACCAAAGAAAAAAAGGAGAGGAAGATAATAAGCTTCATGGAGTTCCACGACCTATGAAAGGTATTCCAAAAAGTAGCATAGAAGACAACTAACCACTGCGCTCCCTCTGGCATTCGTTTCGAAGACGGGCTCCTCATCGTAATCCAACTCGAATATTTCTGGAAAGTATCATAGAAGTCACTCTGTCACTGCATTGTAAAGCTTCGTAGCATATAAAAGGGGCAGTATCTTCAAGTGTAGGAAAATGAACCGATTCAACTCCTTTGCTTTGATAACTTTTCTTATGAACTAATAGCGAACTGGATGATCAGGGTTCATCGCTCTTTTGACATGTTCACCCCCACTCCCACATCCAGCCCACCCAATCACTTGCAATTCCAAAATGAGCCAACTGCTATCAGCGGACACTTTAACTAGGCCTGAAACACCCTTTTTGCTACACATGCAACGCGTTACTGGGAAATTACACAGAACAGACCATTCGCCCGGAATTCCAGTCAAGTAGTAATAACGAATACGTCTTTGTTCAATTGGGATCCGAAGAGGGAAAAATTGTGCTCACCCGCTGATTTAGTGGCCCTACCCACACTTGAATTTTAGTGGTCGTAATATATTAGTCTCAGGATATCTGTCAATCACAAAGGCTCTCTCCCACTTGTTTTCTCCCTTCCTCCTCTTTTCCCTCCTCCTATTGTTTCCTCCTCTTTCTCACCTCCATTCAACAGAATATGCGAAAGAAAATGTCTTTGGACCTCACAAGGGAAACACCCTTGTTCACAGAAACTGTTACCCCGTATATGTTTCGTCTCCGTCCGTCCGTCAAGTCAGTTATCGACTGTTATCACTCCCTGTCGCTCATTATCAATGTTCCCGAGCCAGAATAGTTCGTGAAGTCGCGTTAACACAGCAGGCCATTTCAGAGCCGTGGTCTGTAAAGGTAAAGTTTTGTGAGACCTCGGGTTCTGTAAAGAACCCGAACCTCGAACCAGTTCTCACGGTATGTGAAAGCCACATGCTGGGCACCCAACAACTCTGTCAACCAAAAGTTCTCGTCTTCGCACTGCACAGTTATTTCTTAGCCCCCAAATTCCGTTAAACATTAAAAGCTTAAGAAATGGCGTGAAAAGATGCTCGTAAAACTTTGTAGCTCTACGTTAGTTTACAGGGCTTCACAGACTCGTGCAGTTCGACACCCACTAGGTAAGCTTCTAACAAATTATCTTCAAGTGGTCAATTCCAAGCTAATACTTATTCAGAATTTACTCAAATTATAACACGGAAAACACGGCCAATAAAAATGAAAATAATAAATACGGTCAATAATAATAAAATAATAAACACACCATCAGCAGCCATACTTGAAGTAGTAATCTACTGCAATAAGTAATACCCTGAAATTACTCAGCGTACTTGGAAACAGACAAATGTTTACAAAATCAGCAACAAATAAAGACCTCACTCAAAATAAATAACCAACTATATGTCGTCACGGTTGATTTCTTCCGCAGTCCACGTACAGTACACGGTATGTACGCGCAATGTACTCTACGGAATTTTTCTTCAGAACAGCACTAAGGAAGGCGCGCTTTGTACACTAACATTTTCGGCGTTTTCTCTTCTTGCAGGCACAGCAGACCTGCCGACCCTGTTCACAATGAAAATTCGTGAATATTAAGCCGCGCGGGGTTTTAATTCAAATGACGTAAAGAGACGTAGTGTACGTGACACGCAAATGTCTCATATTCGACGGCACTTCCATTGCTGGTTCTATTGCTCATCTAATCAGACAAAATTTTATGCTCACTGGGCTGCTGTAGAGTTTCATTGAATGTGTGTAAAATCTTCAGTGGAAGGAATAAGTGGTGCTCAGGGCTTCCCCTGCATTGATTTCTGCAGTTTTCTTAAACTCTTACACTTTATTCTTTCTCTTGGGTAACGCATTCAAACCCATTTTTGAGATCTGCTCCAAACGGACTGTGTTTAAATACTCGAAAAACTGCGGGGAAAAGGTGCAAGAACTCGTTAATTCACCATTGAGTGAGTCCATTCCGTGAAGACTTAGAAGCTATTGCTGATGAGTTTGCTACCCCTTTTAGGACAAAAAATGGGCTTACTCACTGCTTGATTCCCTGGGATTGGGCGGGAACGCCTATTTTCTTGGATCATAGTCGTTTTTTGGCACCTTTCCTTGCTTTGAATGCCGTCCAACACTTAAAACTAACGTAGATGTGAAGCGGAAATGGAAGTCGTGCCACGCTCTACAAGGGTTTGCGGGTCGTGAAGAAATGGCTCGGCACGTTGATAAAATTTTGCGGTCTCCCGCATCCCATCAGTCTCCGCCATCTTGATCGAAAGAAGGAATCTCAAAACATCCACTGTACAGCTATTAAATCTTCTTTTTGAGAAGTAGCCCATCAAAGCTCTGTTCTGTACTTTTGCTTTTTCATTTTTTGTGTTCGCAGGGTATCGAATGAAAGTGACGTTGGAATGTGTTCCTGCTGTGTGTAATAAATGACCAATCAACTAAAAATATTATTCATTTCCAGGAATTGTATGATTTACGTTTTCTTCTTCTCCATCGTGAGCCTAATATTATGGGGTGTATTTCTGACCACTGGATATTTCTGCTATCTCGTTCGGCATTCGAACCACGGAAAGAAGAAGACGAGTCCTCGATCGAAGACTGTTTCCTTGTGCTGTGTGATGGGCTCAGGCGGGCACACAACGGAAATGCTCGAACTTCTGAAAAATCTTGGCAGTCAGTATAATCCTCGGTGCTATGTAGTGGCTGACACAGATCAGATGAGCGAAGACAAGGTACTTTCTGATTGCCGTATACTCGACCATTGCTCCTACTTCTCAGCATATGTTTAGAGTATGAGAGTGCAAGCATACGTGCAGTTAGGTAGCCCTGATTGCGCGGCGAGCTGGTCGTGCGATCAGAGCGACTAGATCGCGAAGTATGAACGCGCACTGAATGTACTTTTCTAAATCACTCTACTAAATTCAAGACAAAGTGTGACACAGTGATGAGCCTCCTTGCTTACACCTTAAGGGTGCTCCCGGGAGGATATCCAATTCCTTGGTGGGAAAGATGTTATTTGAGTTTTGCACCAAAAGCTTAATGTTTCCGAGATGTCGCTGGGTCTGTTCTGGAATGCAGTCGTCTCAAGGCACATTTGACCGTGGCATTGTATGATACTTTCTGCCATTGGTCTGCATAAGATTGCGTTCATACTTCGCCATCTGATTGCGCGATCCAAGCGACAGGATGGTGGAAACATGAGTTGTTTTGAAACCTGAGCTTCTGTCTATTTCAGATGTAAAGAACGCTCTCGAAACAAAGTTCCTGACTACAAAGACACTTTCCGAGACTTTTAAATGTGCAAATAGTTCATTAATAAGATAGCAGGACATTTCTGGCGCTCTGCAGTGGTGGGGAAACTGTTGTGGGAAAACTGTTTAGTAAGCTGTGGGACAACTGTTTAGTAAGTAGGAATGGAGCGTTTAGTTTTAGAGTTCGAGACGCTCCCGATGAGTGAACCGACTCCTTTATGCAAAGGTGTCATGATATAAAATGCCCTGCTTGCTCTAGACGGAAACACCTCACCGTATTAGCGCAGTGGCGCTCGATCTAATGAATTAAGTGACATGGTCCTTTTAGACAGAAATTGGGCAGAGTGGGAGTTCCTGACTCAAAATCATTCTTCTCTCTGTCCTGTCCTCTGTAGGGAGCAGAAGCGGAAAGTAGAAGTGGTCGAGTTATTAAAATTTGTTAGGTCATACGAAGCCCTCCACATGAAGCATAGGCACGATAACATGGCACTTGCTCAAAAATAGCAAGAGGGGTGCTTTATAGTGAGGAAAGCGACAAAAAAGCGCAGTTAAACGGCCGGAAACCTGCGAAAAAGCCTTTGTTCTGTACGGCATTGGACGAGCATTTTGGACGAGTTTTCCGTTGGCATCATGCCAACAACCGCTTTGATAGGTACGGCTGCACGTATGTATTCATGTATCCATGCAGCAGCGCTGCATAAATGAAACGATCAGTGCACGCATTGATGGCACGGTGCGGAAAATTTAGGCGAGTGAGTGCGGCGTCCGGGTAGGTATGTTTCAGCTTGATAAAGCGCTATAAGGGCTACCTTCGCTGGGAACGGGGCCTTGCAGCGCCTGCTCAGCGTCAAATTCTACCCTGCTAGGCCTATTCATCCTATACGCCTTGTGGATTTATCGTACCACTTGCCCTTGACAGATATTGCAAAAGTTTTGCTCTCATTGGGAATAATGCAAAACTTCTAAGTGTTCTGTAGATATTTGACGCAAAAGATTTCCGAGATCTATTCTAATGCAAGTTTTACAGATTTTTGACTCCGAGAAGCAGCGTGATAGTGGCGCCTTTCAAGTGTGTCGTATTCCACGAAGCCGAGAGGTTGGGCAAAGCTTCCTGACAGCGGTACCAACAACGCTGTATTCTTTCATTCATGCGTTACGTATTGTATGGAAGGCTAGGTGGGGCTTTTGCTCTTCTGAGAAATATTTTCCTTTTTACCAAAATTTTTTATGTTAGTTAATGTTTCTACGTTTTTCTCCGTGGGCTACCCTTCTGTTCTAAGATATCTACCCCTCTGTTCCACGACATTCCCTCCCGTTCCTGTCGAGCCGCGTTCGTTCGCTGGAGAACCTTTTATTTTCCTTGTCGGGTATGTGGCAAGAGAACCGTAAATCGCCGCGCAAGTGAGCGTCGCTTGCGACGTCGTGCCTGCTAATGACGACGATTTTAGGTGGTACTGGTCGAGAATAGTCAATGTAGCATCACAAATGACATAG